TTGCTAATCAATTATAGTGATTTCCCCATTTACCAAAACTGGAGCACTGTTAAGGGTGCAGACTCCCTCTGCTCTGCACTATGTCTGCTTGCTTCCTCTCTGACTCTTACTTGACGTGCTACTCAGAGTATTCAGGGATAATTAGTGATTAGCTCTAGGACCGCATGTTGTTGACCGGTTGGATACAAGATAATCTCGTGTTCATTGCCCTCTATAGCCTCTAGAACTAGACTAGAAGTAACTGAGCAGGGAGTGTACACTGTATCAGGGCCTGCAACTCAATGCACTGTAAACTCCTCTACGCCAATCAGCCTGTAGAGCAGCAGACGGTTGCATGCTGTCACATATGGCGGACAGATAGTGTTCATTACAGTGATGCAGGGAAGCAGCGGCTCACTGATGAAAGGTTACTGCAACCCTATTTATCATCTTGAGATAAACCAAACTAGTGTTGCTAGGCAAACTTTGCATGCAGCTTATACCATGGATGGAAAAACCCATTTAGGATCTAATCCTTCAAGATGACATTACCATGCGCCGACTTTAAGTAGCTTATATAAACGCCATACCACAGCAGTGGTTTGGATTCAAAGCATTTTAGGAGGAATGTTGACAAGTTTCTTGAGGATCCCTCCGAGACCGTTGTCACTGCAACCACTCAACAGTTTTCTTAACAAACCTGAAGCTAAATTTATCTCTGAGGGGCTAAAGTAAACAAAAATGGTAAAATATATAGGTTTGAATAAATTAGCACTACATTTTGCCCTAGATAATAATGAGGGCTGAAGATAAAATACAAAAAAGCGATTGGAAGCAAAGTACAAAGACAGGAAACACATTTTAAAAGACTTTCCAGGTAGAAGTCTTTTTGGTATGATGTGGCTGTGAAAGTTTGCCACAGCTCTTTGTCAAAAGGAGACAGAAACACCTCTCTGTGTGAAAGGAAGTTGTACACAAGCAACAAGTGGAAAGTAAGACAGGTGACAGCCACACAGACCACCACAGTTTAGCGGCATAGAATAAGATAGAATTTATCTAGTAAAGGAAAGTTTGTATGTAGGCCGTAAGAAACCCCCACCCCCAAAACTTATAATCACTACAGTACTGCGTAAACACTTTCTGTATGGGTGCAAGGAAACTTTCCTGCAGGGAAAGAAGGATGTTGGTGGCAGCCATATAATCTGTGGTGCTAGCACTGCCAATTAACCACACTCAGCAAACTAATCTATTACTGTGTCTGTGATTACACATGCAATATTTAACCATATATGTTCAACTGAACTCCATTTTGACTATTTGTAACTTTTAGACTTGTAGATTTGTTCCGACTTTTTTCCCTCCCATTTACCCAATTAGGAAATTAGTCACCAGGAACTTCCCTAACCAAAGCTTAGACTGAGAACAAATTTGTGCTTATAACTGTATGAATCTCAGACTATGATGTTTGTTAGCAGATTAAATCACAGAGACCACAGATTGCTAGCTAACAAACTGCTTTTCCTAATAGTGTTTTCATTATGTTTTCAGTGATGACTGTTGCCAATAGGGCATATACAAATGTTCTCTCACTATGCAGACAGACAAAGACATTTGAACTGCAAAGACAATGAGCACTGTGAATGATATAAATAATTCTAACCTACACATTTATTCCTGAATGTGCTATATTAGTTGTCTAGCTCCAGAAACGATTGACGTGGAAGTTTGATTCATTATCCTGAAATAACTACATCATTTTTTTTAATCCATTTCATACTTCCACTCAACCCTTGTGTGTACTATACTGCAGGCAACGGATGCTTTACATTATGATGACGTAATCAGAGGCTGTTTAAAACGTCTGACACCTAAACAGACAGCTGTGTGAAGTCAGTAAGACACACAACATCAGCTCTAGAGACTTCTGTGTGACTGTCCTGGACAGTGTATTTATGCAGTTGGGGGTCCTGTGGGAAGAGCCAAAATTAGAAGTGAATAATGAAAGGTCATGGAGCAGTGGGAATAGAGATCCTGTTGACGCAATCTGTCCAATCATATTTATTTCCTTTGGCCAGCAACCAGTGGCTACATCTAGACTGGAAAACAAACCAAGACAACAGCATCCAATAAAATACCCGATGATGCGCGACTCTGCAGTAGCAACGTGATTCAAACTGACTTCTTCAGAACACTAAGGTACTTTCTTTTAAGTAGAACATGTAGCCTACCACTTACCAATGGAGGCTTAGCAAAATAAAATCTATTAACAATGACAGAAAACATATTATAATCAGAAACAGACCAAAAAGCTCTCTGAAGAGTCACAACAGACCAGCCTTTAGTGTGTTTTACAGTTGTTGTTAAAAGAGTAGAGACACATGCCTGCTGCGGTGTACACAGTAAAAGTAGGAAGGCAGAGCCTCTCGAGGAGTTGTTTTTCAGAGGCCTTTGTGGTATGCGTGAGCGTCCCGGCCCAGTCAGACCCACCTCATTGCTGGCTGGTTGGCATTCCTGCCTAACTCTGTAATTATGGCTCCTCTCCAGGCCTCTATGCTACACTCTCCCTGAACCACTGTACTGAACATGGCGCGAGACCTGCCCTCTTCAAAGGTATGTGCTCTTCACCTGGTTCGGACTAGTTAAGACTCTAATCTTAACAATAACTCATCACTGGGTGGAAATATGCTTTGACAACAGTGACGGGTAACAGCTATGCTGAGATAAAAACACCATCACTTACAGATTAGGATCATTAATTGTGCAGATATTTTTCAAACCGGTGCTGAGCTTAAAATGATATGATAGTGAATTAAACAATACATAAAAACATATTTCTTCTGCTTTAAATCCTGACTATTTGTTAACACTTGCAAGTGTGAACGTGTCCAAGTCTTAATGTGTCATCATTCTGCTGAAAATGAGACAGCAGTGGTTGCAGAGGAAGCTTTACTGTGTGTGCCAACACATCTGCCTGCCACTGCTGTGAGAACTATGTGTTAAAAGTAAGGTTTTATTGTTACAGAGTTAAAAGGCGTGCTCTTTATGTTATGAACATTTCCTAAAAACCAAGCCTAAACTCCCCATCAAAACTTCAACAAAACACTCTCTGCAAACCTTTCTGCAGAGGTTAAACAGCCTGAAAAAGATTAGAATTGGAAAGGTGTTAAAGTATTAAATAAAGCATTTTTTTTTTAAATTAAATAATCTTGCAATGTTCACTTGATGGTCTATGATCCATATGATCCAGTTTTGAAGAAGCTGGAAGCTGAATTGCTGAACCATTTTTTCACTAATTATTTCACAAAGTGATGGATCCTTGCCATCTTTACTTCTCTACTTTGTTTTTGCTTGTTGTAAATTACTTATGTCATTAGTTTTGATCTATTAAACCAAGTGTTTTGATTATTATGTATGTATATGTGTCAGTAAAAGAAACTAAAGAATCTCTTGTTTTTACTATTGCCAATTTAAGGTATAGTGTGTATTCTGCTTTTATTCGTTTTCTACACAGATGATCTTCACTGGTGTGTAGGGAGCTAAAGTGAACTATGAAACTGAAGCTAAAGACATTGGCCACAGAACCTGTTTAAAATTAATTAATGTGCAGTAAATAACCAAACACAGTGGAAGAACAACAAAGACTTATGAAACACAACTTGGTGTGTTTCTCAACATTGTTATTGCTGAAGTAAACTGAAGGAATAATCCAAAAATGTAACAAAATATGAAAGGAAATTCAGACAATATACACCATTCATGGAGCTGGGGGCGCATGACAAGCCTGCAGCAGAAGGATTAGGACGATCAGCTGAGCACGACTCAATACCACATTGTTCCTCGCTGCTCACCGCTTGTTTTTCCTCCAGCTCTCCTAGCAGCTTATCAGAGGAAGGCAGGACCAAATCTCTCCCCCCTGTGCCTACCAAACTTCAATCACTCACAGTCCACTTCCCACTATAAACCGATTACAAGCATCGACACTGTGGTGCGAAAATGTCAAAGCCTTTTGTGATACTCTGAGCTTTGTTTGAAATCATAGAGATCCTGACAATGTGCTTTTTAAAAAAATAAAAGAAGAAAAAAAACCATGTTGAAATAAACACAATGACTGGCAATCAAGAACATCAGCTTTGGCCATGAGATTACAAAGCACACTGCTGGCTTTGTCCACAGGTCACATCTGTATTGGAGTGACACACAGCACGCTGCTGTGCAAATGTATCAGGAAGGGTGTGTACCAGCCTGAACTCATCCTACATTCAGGCTCTCATTGTCTCTGCTGCACACTGATAACAAACATTGCCTGCTATTCAGACACATCTCATGCACTCTATCAAAGGTTGATGTTTCAATCTGGATAACAAATTACAGGCCCAGTCAAAACATAGAGACAGACTGATTGGGATTTTTGCCTGTGGTTTACATGTAAAGGGAAAGATTAATCATGTATAACTGTAAGTCAATGAAACCTTTTTTTTAATGAATACACTGAAAAACTTATTTTGAATTCTGTGTGGTATATATATATATATATATATATATAGCAAGAACCTCACTAGTCAAATTTACAAATTGTAAGGCCTCAGATTTAGCTGCTCTCTAATCTCTAAACAGCTACTGTGAATTCACACTTTTGCACAGAAAGCACTCTGAATTCACCTTAAACCTAGCCACATCAGCAGCATCCTGGATTTGAGAGAGGAGCGCAAACACAGCAGACCGACACATTTCACCCATTTCTGGTCTCTTTACCACTTAAACCACTGCAATGGAGATTAAACAGCTCCAAGATGTGCTCACCTGGCACTAGCATGAACAGGCCTGCGCTGGGAACAAAGGGAGATGGTGTGCAGCAGAAGTGCACATGCATAATATGTTGACTTAAGCTATGTAAACATTAGACCTGATGGTGATGAACAAACACACGAGGTTTCATTTCCTCGGGAAATCAATGTGTTGCTCAAAAAGAGCAAAACGTTTCTTCTTTTGATGACACCCTAAGAATTTTTAATATGGCTCACCTATATAGAGTGAGGAGTCTTTCTTCTTTACGTGATCATCGATATAGGAGACCCCCAGGGGCTGCACTGGCGTGGCTCCAATCCCCAGCAGGACCTGGGCTCCGATCAGCAGCAGGTACATCATGTTGGTGTTGGCCTTGTTGTCGCATACATTTTTCTCCGCTTGCTGAGCCTCTGAACTGTTACTATTGGAGCAAAAATCCCGACCCTCATTAGTCCTCCACACTTGCCCTATCTCATACTGATTTGTTAGAAACTCGGGTAAAGCTGAGAGCAGAGCGCCGAGTGCCATGACGATGCCACCGCAGCCGATCAGACGGGGCCGGTGCGCTTTAGCCCCAAAATAGCTGACAAACAGGATAAGTGCCAGGTTGCCTATCTCAAAGCTGCTGGCTATCACTCCGACGTCAGCACTCTGTAGGTTGAACCGCCGCTCCAGGGTGGTCAGCACACTCACCTAAAAACAACAGGACAAAAAAAAGGAACAAATGAGTAAAATGTGGGGCCATGCGAATAATGTGGAATGAACAAAAAAATATGTGGAATACATATCTGGATTTTAAAACAAGAGCCATTGAGGAAGCATGATTATTCAAACATAAAACACACATTAACTATTAGTGGATCTAAATAGGGCCTGTGCTTGATTCTTTCAAGCACTGCTATAAATCACATGTTTCCATCATCATCAGTCACATTGCTTTAAAGTGTGCCGTTCTACTGGAACATCCTGAATAACGAGCTGTTCAGATGTTCCATGCCGTGGCTCCTCCTAGGCAACAGGCCTCTGTTTCTGATTAGCTGGGCACAGCAACATTTACTTCCATTGCTTCTCTTGTTCACCAGCTGTCATCCAGAGCAAGAGTTAGAGCTTACCAGTAACTTCTAAACAAAGCAAACACAACAGAAAGGTTGTATAGGATCGTTTTTTGGCAACCCTGTTTGTCAGATACGATTTAGAGGTCAGGGAATAAATACTGTGAGGCCACATTTATGGTCAGGATATACAGAGACGGACAAATAACGCTTTAAATTTAGTTAGACATGTGCATGCCATGATTTCTCAGTAAAGTCGGATCTGTGGGAACAGTCTCTCTGAGCAATGTGAACCACAGTGGCACATTTTAGAGAGTATAAAATGCTATTTATATATTTGGCTCAAACTGTCCTTTAAAGGGCACAACTACTTCCCTTTTCCCAACTGCCACTACGAAGGAGTTTTGATAGAGTTACTAAAAAAAAAAGAAAGAAAAGATCCTACTAACACAAACATCCCCTGAAAAGAGGGCCCCACCAGTCAACTTGCGGTTTCTGCTGCTGGAGCATTTTACACATTTCTTTCCCAATTATGGTGATTTAATGTACACAGTTGATTTAGGTTTATAAGCAGTTTTAATGCAGACATAATCTTTGTGGCTCCAAGAGGCTCCGTGCTTAAGGCTTAAATGTGGAAATGATTTGACAAAACTGCTCTTTTCGTCCGTCTTGCAAACACACTCGAATGTTTCCTTACCTTGATGCTGTACATTTTAAGCGTTTGGTTTGCAGGAGGAATCACAGGGAAGCATCAGCTTTATTTTTTTAAACAGTAGAATATAGAATATATTTTCAGCTTTTCTTGTATTTAGCACCTTCACTTCCTCCACAGCTGTCTTTTCAGTGACAGCTCAACACACTGTGTTCTCCTGAAATTGAACTGCAATCTGTATCTGTAGGTTTACTGGGTGCATTATCTTTACTTTATTTACCTGTGCACAATATTTACTACACAACAGGTGCGTAGACTGTCACTTCCAACAAAAAAACAATGCTATGCAGTCTATCTGTTTTGCCATTTGGGTTTAAAATAAGCTGTCTTCTGTGACTTTTAGAAGTTAGATGTGACAGCAGGTCATTTTTGCACTTCTCTGAACACAACTGCAGTGACTCTTTCACTACTTATCAAAGTGCGGAGAAGATGATTGTTGGGAGCGGCTCATGCCGGAGTCCTTCAGTGAAGTTTGTTGGATTGAAAACTTCAGAATGAGTCATGATGTTTCTGCCCCTTGGGTGGCTCTTTCTCGAGAATGCAAACACACTAGATGGGCTGCGGTATGCCTGGCTGGCTCTGCCCAGCTGGGATCTAAGCTCAATCCTGTTTTACCCAGCTGTTAGAAACAATAGTGAGCCCCAACAACCTGTTAACATAACAGCTGCAGCTCTACGCAGACATTAACATTGAAACAGAGGGAATAAAGCCACCACATCATCTCATCCCATTATTGAGAGCCTGCAGTCAGCACCTGTGACTGACAGTTTGATCAGTGGAAACCCTCTGGATGAGTCATACTCTGGTCTGCAGGTTCAACACGTTTCTGACTTCAACAGCCAGCTTTCCATCACTGTTTTTTTCACTTACAAGCATAAAATACACAGGAAAAACTGAGAGGAATGCTTAATGGTCAGTGGTCAAAGCCACATTTTCTCTGCATCACAACTCAGACTGTGGAAATGTTTAATCTGTCTCACAGCAACAAAACAAACCTCGTCGTGCTGACAACCCATCAAATATGAGAAGAGCAAACCTTATGTGAGCATGAGGAGACAACTTTTCTCAGGATGTACTGACCAGGCATTTACTTATCAACATGCAGAAGAAAGCTGCTCACTGCTGACAGTCACTTCTGCACATTGAGGTTCAGCATTGATGTAAATGTGCTGTAATGGTGCTATTCGTGATGGGAGAGCAACTGTTTATAACTAAGCTTCTGCTATTAGAATGGAATCCACTCTGTTTTATGAGGTGTGGCTTACAGCAGGTTGAAGGTTATCTAAAGGTATTCGAACAAGACTGCATAGGTTATTTTTAAAGAGCTCTGTTAGTGGCATCCAAAAGAAGCTGCCTCCACAGTTTAGGCCATGGGCACAGAGATGAACTTTTTTTTATAGTACTTTCTCTTTTTAAATAACTCGTATAGCATAGTTTGAACACTTCTTTAGAAATGTACTGCAGTTTTCAAAACAACATTTTACACTTTCACGGAATCTGATATCTGACAGGTGTGTTAATGGTTATACTCGTGCTCCAATCAACAAAAATGGCTGAAGTAAACCAATAAATGTCTGGTAAGTTACTAAACAAATCAGATCCCACCTAAAACCTTATGTTAAAACATTATAGGGGTATAAGTACTGAGACAGCCATGTTTGGGCTTCCTCCGTGTTTGAACACACTTGGTGTGACAGGCCTGCAGTGCCAAGACAAACACCGTTGAGGTTCAGTTGTTGCACTTTGTAGCTCAAAGCTTTCAAGTGTCAGATTTGGTGGTTTTGTGAGAAGTGATAACATAAGCAATAGATTTTGAACTCTTGGGCCCTGCATACAAAAACTGACCAATGCTTTCTATTTATAGATTTACATATAACACCACACCCTAAGTTTAAAATCTTAATCAGGCATCACTATTTAAGGGATGTTTGAATATATTCATCAAGCATGTGATCTATTGATATCAAAAAGCAGCGACAAAATACCTTTTTAACCACGGCAAAATAGAGCAGCTTAAATGGCCATACTTCAGATGAGTTGCTGTTTGTTTACCTATTGAAAGCCCATATCCTGAGTGCACATACATTATGTTAAAAAGCTTTGGCGTGATTGTAAGCCAGGACGTTTCCTGTAATACTGTGATTCAAACTCTGTGTCCACCAAACTGAAATGATTAGTCAATTAATCCAGTGAATCAAAACATTTAATTCATTTTTGAGCTATTTTAGCAATTAATAAATCAGTTCTGTCATTTTACCAAGCAGAAGGAATGGAAATATTCTGGTTTTAGCCTTTTATACGTCTTTATAATATCTCATCATAAACTAAATATCTTTGGGTCTGTACTATTAGTCTAGTATTGTAACATACCTAGTAATGACAGGGGAAAAAAGAAAAAAGTTATAGCCCTAATGTCCATTAGACCACTGAACTCAACTGCCTCGAACAATCTTTCATTATTTGCTTCAGACTCAAAGCCGTTAATTCCCTCTGTTCACTTGCACAACTAAAAAGAACAGGCCTAATAAATCACGGACTGCAGACGTACATGTGTGCTCTCATGTGTTTGTGCAGGTTAACCGTTCCCCTGTAGTCAAGCTGCTAAATCAGGAGGCACAGCGTGCTGTTACTGTAAGTGTCTTGTGCTGTAAGCAGCTCACAGAAATCAGAGGGGGTCGTGATAGTTAAATTTTGCCCCTTTGCTGCCAGCAAACACTCCTAAGCACCTTCATCCAATCAGACACCGCATTAGCTCATACAGGTCGACACCAGCTCATTAGACTGTCACCAAGCCAGGTACCTCAGTCCTGTCTGAGTAAATGATATTCCATGTAAATCAGCTCGGTGGGTTTTACAAACAAAAACAGGCCCAAAAGCTTGGCATGTTTGACTAAGTGAATGATTCCAAACCTCACCTGCAGGTCTATCTTTCCTTTCCTGTTTAAACAGGTGTCCAGTGCCAATATACTACAAAAAAACTGCAACTGCCTGTTTAATCTGAAATAAACAGTGAAGAAAAAGACCCCCCTCCTCCCCGTAAGCGACTCCCGAGTGGCACCACTGTGCTCTGTTGTTGCTGGGCCACAGGATGCTTGATGCTCAGCAGGTTCAGTAAGAGTTAAGATAAGATGTTCCACTCCAAATATGGACAAGATATTTAGGGTTTTACTCTAATAATTGAACAAGCAAGCTGAGAAATCGGTGTGATTCTTGGAGAATAAACACTGCTAATGTTGAAACTAAATGTTCAGAGTGGTTCGCCCGAGGTTGTGAAAGATCCTCTGGGACCCTTTGAGGAAAAATTTGAAGCACTTCAGGGAGCTTTGTTTAACAAAATCTATATTAGGCATTCCTGTGTTCAAATTTTACTGTAACACTCTATCATCATCATCATCATCATCATCATCAAGACACATTTCGAAGATTCATCAGAAGAGAGCAGATGTTAATTATGTTATTTCTCATACTACCAGTTTATTTGTATGAGTAATAGTAAATGTGAAAGCTTAAGTAATGGAGGGGAAATTTTTGACCTTGAATGTCATTTGGGGTCAAAGCAGCCAAATTCTGCCATCCTAAATATGTTTAGGCTGTTATTACTAAAGCTAACCAGAGTTTTAAAGTCACCCTCTGGTAAATGGATGGTAAATGATGATTTAGTTTGAGTTGTGACACATTAGAGATAAATTAGACATGAGTGAAAAGTAGCTATAGATGTTTTCCTCACAATAAAAACACAAGCAAAAGAGTGGTAAAGGGCATGCTATCCTAAAGGGCAGACTTTACTGAGAAGAAGGCAGGTTTCTGTCCTGACACTGTTCTGCTGCATTAGTCAAAAGCATGCAGAGCAGGAAAAGCCCCAAATGCAAAAGCCTAGTCCCAGTAAACACAGATCTGAGCAGCCCCCACTGCAGTGGGGTCTCAGTTCACACTGCAGGCACTCCGAGTCCTGCGTGAGCTCGGGTTGTGTTGTACTCACCAGGTATGCTCCGACGGTGCCCTGTGCCAACATTAGGGCGCATTCCGATATTAAGAATATCTTGATATTTGAGAAGCACGAGGAGTTTTTGCGGGGACCGTCTGCTTCCAGCATGTCCCCGCCGCTCCGGTCCGAGTCCCTTTGCTTCTTCACCTGCATCCTCTCCTACGTTAGCCTCACAGAACTACGAGAAATCGAAACACACAGCAGGGTGACCAAAGGAACACACTGGCAGGTACAGTGTTTCGCTTTTCGCTTCCCCTGGAGGCTACATTCGGGGTGCTCCCTGGCGCCGTTCCTCTGGATTCAACAAACTGTACTCTTTCATCTGAGAAGCTACCAAACACACATCCAAACTCCGCGGGGCTCCGTCGCTCGTCTGCGTCTAAACATTGCCTCCTTGTCGACGCGCAGAAACATGTGAACTCCCTGAAGGTGTTAGCAAAGGCACAAGTGAGACGCGGACACGTAGATTCCTGTCAGATCGCATGTTTCCGCCGCGGACTTTAGTGGTTTTTCGCGGCGGCTCTGGATTTTGCTCACCAGGTTCTTATTTTTCTGCTAAACTCCGGCCGTGCCGGTCTGTCATTATCCCTAACTCACACAGAGCTTGCCCTGCCTCCGCGCTCCCACCTCCCTGTACTACTGTCCTCCTCTGCGAGCACAAGTGCGGCCCTAGAGGCGCTGCAGAGAAGCGTCATCTCCGCTCAACTTACATCTACTACAGTAGTCCTGTGGGGCCTCGTGTTTGTTCTGTCCACACGTGTTTAAGAAACACTTAAATATAACAAATTGCCATCTTCTCACACCATAAACTCTTATGTGGTTTTTGCTGGTTTGAGGCTAGCTGCTAAACCGATTCGTTTGTCAACTACAGTTTTAAGTAATTCACCTAAGAAAAATGCAAATGAAGTGAAGAATACAATATGGTTGACACGCCATACTTTATACTAGTACTATTAAAATATAGAAATAGAATATAAAGACAAAAAACGGACCAGGACTTTAATGGGCTTCAGAGTTAAGCATTTTAGCTACCGCCATCTTGTGCCCTTTTTCTAAACCAGCAGTTGTAGAAGCTGTAAGCTAACTTAGCTGGCTAGCTAAACTGAGTAGCAAGAATCGCTCATTTACTTCAGTAATACAATTCTAACTTTCGATCACGTAAAACAGGCTACAAATTATATACATGTTGGACAAACCTGGCAGCCAACTTCTTAGACTGTCTTTTAGTATAAGAGAAGACAGAAATGGAACCTACCTGTCTCTAACCTACACTTGTAATAGGTCAGTTATTTTAAAACAAATATCCTTACAGTTGCCACAAACAAATAATTAGCTAAAGTGAGCAGACTGTAGGAAGGGATTACCAAAGTGCTAGCAGGGGCTCCATAGTGGGCCACAAAGGTATTGCAGGTGGTCCAAAGTAATAATAATGTACAGTTACATATTTATATAAATACATTTATTCATATAAAAAAAAGATAAAACTGGCAATATAAGGGGGTTAGCTTGTGCTATTAATCAATACTCTGACCTAACTGTACAACACATATATTGACCTTTGTGTCTAATTTGCAGGTGGCTCACATATTGGGCTTATAACTTAACACAACAAATTCAAGGAAATATACCAATTTCTCTTGTATTTTAATTAGAGTGAAAATGTAAGATTGAGATTTTCTGGTTTTTAAGTGTGCCACAGCACTGGTGAGTTTGGGAATAGCTGTTCCATTTTAAATTTGGGGATTCATTTACTTTAGGAGCCTTCCTCTAGTGGCCATGTGAGGAACTGTAGTTTTATGACACACTTCCTACATGTTTGTAGTGCTTATGGGAAGCTAGCGTTCATCTGTTTGCTTTTTTATCTAACTCACGGCAAAGTGACAGCTGCCTCAAGAATTGCCATTTAAATAGTTATCGAATCATTAAAATAGTTGTAAGAAGTTGCATGAATAATAAAACTAAAAATCATCCTGTAATGACATCACAGCAAGTGTGACACTACTGCATTCTTGGACCACCTCCATTTCTAAAATGAAAGACAAAGATACAACTTATTGAGAATTTACAAATACATTATAAATTAAGAAAATTGCTGGACATGCGTGTATAGCCTATACAGCATCGGTGCTATGGACAGGCTATAAATGTATGCATATATGGTTTAAAATAGCAAAGTCAAATTTATATCTTGTGAATTGGAATCAATTAGCATATGCTCTGCTACCAACCCTGAGCTTACATTTTCAAATTTGACTTTATTCTAAAGTTCTGTGATCCCTCTTCTTCTGCGTAACCAACTCAGGGTTGTGGGTTGGCTGGAACAAGCTGTCAAGGAGTGAGAGGTGATGGTACATCCTGGACAGGTCACATATATATATATATATAAACTCCACACAGAAAGACCCAGATTGGATTTAAACTCATAACCTTCACCCAAGTGCTAACCACCACACCACTGTGACTCTGTGAACTTCCATGTTACACCAAGGAAAATAAATTCCACTGACACACAAAGGGGTATTCAAACACTACTTCAAATCATAATTTTGGTATTTCTTACTATAGAAGATATCTCCAGGACCACATTTTGGCAGGATGACACACACACACACGCACACACACGCACACACACACACAGGCGGATTGTAAGTGCAAAAACAGCACCAGCCACGGTGTCGCATGTGGTAATAATCAGCTAAACCTTGCAGTTGCATCACTTTAACACTGCCTTGCTAAAACATATAGCAGGAGTTGTGATGTTTGCACAACCTTTTCCAACCTTTATCACTGGATTACCATGCTCAATATTTCTGGCACGAGGTAATGGAGTGGCTATGAGGTAATGTAACCACATAATGTGATAATGATGGTGTGGAAGTAAACAGGGCGATAAACAAAATATCGTGTAAAGGCCATCAGGATTTTCTGCACGGGTCTACGCACAGCAGCACTCTTAGATACAGCAGCAAGAGATGGAAAAGCAGCACATGTAAAGGTCACGGAGATGAGTTGGTAATCGATCAACTGTGAAATATGTTTGTTTTTTTTTCATTCAGTATGTGTCAGTGTCCTTTTTAATGGCATAAATATGGGAAAATGTCAACAATAATAAATATTTTTAAACCAGTGACAGTGTAAAAAATAAAAAAGCAACCTAAAAATGAAGTTGATCTCACATTATTCACAACATTCACCTACAGTTCCACTGGTATGACAAACCCAGAAGACCTGAAACAGACTCTTTCTCACTTCCTTTGGACAAACGAGGAGCCAAAGCACAATGAAAACAATAAATGATCACTGTGTTTCAGCCACCAGCCCCCTCATTTTCAGAAACTTTTGGCAGGTGTCCAAAGCGAGATGATCATGAATAGTAGACGTTCCCTCACTCTTGACCGGCACACTCCCACACGAAAATGCTTCCCACACTGCTTCCTACGTTCAGCCTGTCGGGAAAAGCAAAACACGGAGCGTGAAGATGACAGTTTTAGTGTCACATGGTTCAATTATACAAACCGTGGCATAGCCTTCAAGTTCCGACTGAGCAACGATGTGGCAAAACCGAGACATGTATGTAAATATTGAAACAAGCAGTGTAGTGAGAAATGGAAATCTAAGGTACAGCAGAGTGGTTTGTTAGTTTCAAATAGTTCACAGACCCTACACAGCTGAAGCACAACGTGTGTCTGTGACACTTGGGGAGTATCAATGATATTCAGTGACTCTATCATCACCGATGCTTTTCCCAGAAGGCTCCCACCCTCTTTAGCCTGCTGCCTTCTGCCTGCTTTAACCAATGGGGATGCTGATCAACTTATAAACAAGTGTGCTGGTATTTGTTCATAGTCAAATGAGCTTGCAAAGCTTCAAGCTTCATACATAGCTGACAATTTCTGTGACTTTCTTTTTCACTTGTTGATAGGTGCTTTAAGGTACTCAGGACTGATTTGATCTCCAGTCATTTTGAAGGAGGGTGTAGCTACTGTATGCTGCAGGATATCATCAAGACACTGAACTAAAAGCAGTTATTAAAACAGTAAAATTTTGCATTTTCCCCCTCTCCACCTCACCCACTCAGTTTTTGTTTTTTTTTTACAATGCCTTAAGCACTCTAAAACATTTCACACAATATCCATAAAATTTTGGTAGAATGAAATCTGTTTACCTTGGTTCAACATCGGACACACAGAAGAAGTAGTCCGCTTCAGAACTGTTTCAGTGCTGGAAATGTTTAAATTAGCCAAGGACAGAGAGCTTCCAGGACAGAGAGTGCAGGACACATATCACCAACTGGCTCAACATGGCTGCAATTTGACCTCATACAGACTTCTATGGAGCCAACAAGTTAGCAAACACTGTGAGACATTTGCTTTTTCACTGCTCTGCAGTGGGCTGCAGTGCCTTTATGAAAAATTAGAGTTCCTTTTAGGGATATGTTACAATTATAAAACATGCCATTTGTGTATTATATGAAGAGAAGATATATTAAAAAGCTCATGTTTCATACCATTCTGATGAATCAGTCTGAGCAATAGCAAAAGTGAAGGAGGAAACAGGAAGGAGAGGGGGATTTTTGACCTTAAATTACATTTCGTGCCAAAATCAGCAAACCACCATGATACTACAATCAGGATTCAGTCGTCTGAACCGTCTGTGATGTTCTGCATTGGTCAAAAGCAAAGCAGGAAAAGAAAACAAATCTACTTCTTAAATTCAATGTTGTTTTTCACTGAAGATATATTATAGAGCTTTATGTATTTTAGTGAGATAAGAGAGTCTTGCAGTGTTTCTTTTGTAACAAATAAGATGGAAATTAAGATAAGAACAGATGCTACATCCATGGACAAATCTGCCAGAGAGAAAACATGTTTATACAGTTTATTTTAGTATTTTAAATACATTACATCAGTCTGTACTTTGTGATTCACATTAGTTTTAACAAGAGCCATTTGTAAAGCAGATATGTGTGAAGTTCTTTCCTGCTCTGTGCGTGTGTGTGTGTGCACCACTGTTTACATACAGTAGACTTGCAGAGACATGAGTCAGGTAACCAGCAGAGGGTGGAGACAGCTTGGTCCGGTGCCAGGAATGTATGAATGGAGAAGTCTGCAGAGTATTGTTCTGCCTTCTGAAACAGCTGCTATTTATAGGAT